GCCACCTTAGACACCCAGCAGCAGCTGCAGCAGCTGCAGCAGCTGCAGCAGCATCTTGCTAGGGTGCAGCAGCGCGATCGCATGCCTCCGCTTTCTTCTGTAAGCAGCACGGGAGTCCGCTGCATGCGTGGAAGCTGCCTCCGCAGCAGCAGCAGTTCCGACAAGAATAAGAGCAGCAACGCACCTACCACCAAGCTGATCCGCTTCGCCCTCTCCACAGGCATCTGCAGACTCTCCACTGCCCGCGTGGTTTGCTCATCCAAAGACGCTTCCAGTCCTGCGAAGGCAGATGTTCAGCGCAGGAAGGCTGCTGCTGCTGCGGCGGTGGAAGCTGCAGCCTTCCTCGCCGTCTTTTCAGCCAACGCAGACTCGAAAAAAGGCATTGCGCAGCAACGCCAAGACGCAAAAAAAGGCGGCTCTGAAGGCTCCTCGTCTGTTACAGGGGCAGTATCAGCTTCTACAGCTCGAGAGGCCAATAGCGCAACTTACACAGAAGCAGACACAAAAAATACCGCAACTTACACAGAAGCAGAAGCACAAAAGACTCCGGAGAGTACGCCTTTTCGAGGACCTGACGCCGTCGTGGAGGCAGTGTCTTTTTTCATCGGCTGCAGCGAAGTGTTGATGCACTTGAAGGAGGCTTGTAGCACCAGCAACTCGGAGGCTACCGAGAAAGTGGGGAAAGGCGGCTTGGAGAGGCTGACAGTTCCCAGCGCCTCCGCTTTGCTTGGTTGGTGTGGTCTTCTGCTGCTGAGCTGCAGCAGCCGCAGCGTCGAAGTTCAACCCATGGGGGAAGCTGCACGGATCGGGGTGTATACTCAAGTCCAGCGGCGTCCGGTGTATCGACAGCACATTCGCATTGTGGTTCCTGGTGGCTGGCTGCACTGGAGGGAAAACGGCCTGCTGTATTGGGTGCTGCTGTTGCTACACCTCCGCGCGGTGTACAAAAAATGCAAGCAGCGTGGAAAAATTGAAGAACCTTCCGGGAAGGATCCAGCAGTTGACGCTCCTGCTGCTGCCAATAACTGCAGCAAGAGCTGCAGCAATAACTGCAGCAAAAGCTGCAGCAGTAACTGCAGCAAAAGCTGCAGCAGTAACTGCAACAGAAGCTGCAGCAGTAACTGCAACAAAAGCTGCAGCAATAACTGCAGCACCCAGAATGTAAAGCAAGACACGGAGTCGTTCGCACAGAGTGCTCCTGCTGCCGAGATGAGAGGCGATGCACCTGCCACAGCAGCAGAAGAAAACTCGTCAGCAGAAGCCCCTTTTTCAGCATGGCAAGAAGAAAGCGACCTTTCCTTTCTTCCAGAGAGCAGTTCTTTCTTTCCTGGGTTTGACTCTTCATTAGGCATCCGTAGTTTTGCCGCAGCTGTTAAAAGCTTGGATATTTTTGAGGGCCTTACTCCCGACTGTATCCATGTCGTTATCCGCAACTTTGCTGTTTACTCGCCAGCTGCTTCGGTCCAGCCGCAGCAACAGCACCCCGAGCAGCAGCAGCAGCAGCAGCAACGGCAGCAACAAGCGATGTTGCGCTTGCTTATCCCGACATTGCATGTTCATTCCTCATCCCTTACTGGAGGGGCTGTTGTTGCAGCCGTTCCTCTGCATGTACAGTGCATGTTCCTGACTAGCAGCAGCAGCAGCAGTGCAAGGGGCAGCCGGAGCAGCAACAGCTTTTGTGGTAGCAGCACCAACGGAAGGCGAACACAATCATTAGACGTGTGTCGTTCGCTCGTAGCCTTTCGAACCCTCTTCCTCAAGACAGAGTCGTCTCACCTACACGACCATGAAGACGGGAAAAATCAGCAGCAGCCACAGCAGCAGCAGCGGGAGTTCAAGATGCATGCATGCAAAGACATAGGCGCAGCCTTTGTTTCTGACTTATGCATATGGCTGCCTCACAGCGGACGATATGTTCAGGTGTCTATACAGCGAGCCACCGGCTTCGCCTTGCAGCAAGAACTCCTCTTGCCCCTCTTCGCTCTCGTGGAAGCTATACAGAGAGACTTACTGCAGCCTTCGCTCACTGCGCTCAAACTGGTATGTCATGCGTCTGCTGCACCGGATAGATAGGTGCTATAGTACCCGCTGCTGCTGCTGATTGCCTGGCTGCTGCTGCTGATGATGATGATGATCGCCTGGCTGCTGCTGCTGATGATGATGATGATTGCCTGGCTGCTGCTGCTGATGATGATTGCCTGGCTGCTGCTACTGCTGATGATGATGATGATTGCCTGGCTGCTGCTGATGATGATGATGCTGATTGCCTGGCTGCTGCTGATGATGATGATTGCCTGGCTGCTGCTGATGATGATGATTGCCTGGTTGCTGCTGCTGCTGCTGATTGCCTGGCTGCTGCTGATGATGGTGATGATTGCCTGGCTGCTGCTGCTGCTGTTGCAGGTTGCCTGGCTGCTGCTGCTGATGATGGTTGCCTGGCTGCTGCTGATTGCCTGGCTGCTGCTGATGATGATGATGATTGCCTGGCTGCTGCTGTTGCAGGTTGCCTGGCTGCTGCTGCTGCTGCTGATTGCCTGGCTGCTGCTGATGATGATGATTGCCTGGCTGCTGCTGTTGCAGGTTGCCTGGCTGCTGCTGCTGCTGCTGATTGCCTGGCTGCTGCTGCTATTGCAGGTTGCCTGGCTGCTGCTGATGATGATGATGCTGATTGCCTGGCTGCTGCTGCTGCTGATGATGATGATGATTGCCTGGCTGCTGCTGATGATGATGATGATTGCCTGGCTGCTGCTGATGATGATGATGATTGCCTGGCTGCTGCTGCTGTTGTTGTTGTTGCCTGGCTGCTGCTGCTGCTGCTATTGCAGGTTGCCTGGCTGCTGCTGCTGCTGCTGATTGCCTGGCTGCTGCTGATGATGATGATGATTGCCTGGCTGCTGCTGTTGCAGGTTGCCTGGCTGCTGCTGCTGCTGCTGATTGCCTGGCTGCTGCTGCTGCTGATGATGATGATGATGATTGCCTGGCTGCTGCTGCTGATGATGATGATTGCCTGGCTGCTGCTGCTGCTGCTGTTGCTGCATGCAAGCTCTGCTGTGGCATGCACTGTGGGGCTTCAGCTTGTTGGACTTTGCCTTTCTACAATTGTTGGAGGCTTTGCTGCCCGCATGATGTTAAATAAATGCCGATCTCTTACCTCCGCAGTTCGGCTTTTCGCCGGCTCGCTGGCTGAAGCAGCTGCAGCAGCAGTAGTTGGTGCTGTTGTAGTTGTTACCGTTGCTGAGTGTCGCGTAGGAGCAGCAACAACGAAAGCTACAACTACAAATACGGCAGCAGCAACAACTACAACTACCGCAGCAGGTGCAAGACAACTCTCTGTGTGTGCGTCTCACTCCCTCTCTGTCTGCGCGCGTCTCTTGCATGCTGCAGGACGAACGGTCACCAAGCAACCCAGATCCAGTGCTGCGTATTCGCGTCGGCAGCGTCTCAGCGCGAGTCTCCCCCCACTTTCTTGCAGAATCGAAAGGGGGTCTTACAGTCAACATTTATCCGGTAGCCTTGAAGCCAACGCCAGCACGGCTGCACCTCTTAGCGCAACAAGAGCTGCACCGCAGTCAGCAGGTGCAGCAGCCGTATGCGCAGTATCTTTCAGGAGAGCATGCTGTCGCAGAGCGCCAGCATCGGCAGACGCAGCAAGAGCTGCAGGATCAGACTGAAGCTGAGCCGCGGCTGAAGAAGACGCAGGTGCTGCGGGGGCAGCACCAACCCCCCCCTTCCGACGCAGTTCGACGAGAGGGAGACAACACGCCTCTGCCTCACATAGATGTGCTTTTAGGCTCCTCTCAAGTGCGCTTCCTCCTCGCTGCGCAGCAGGGGGAGAAGCCTTCACCTGAGGAGAAGCGCCAACCCCTCCAACGGCGGAGACGAAGCGGCGGAAAGCTGCAACAACTCGCGGCAGGTGTCGTGAAAGCGATGCCGCCCCTCTTCAGCGGCGAGAAAATCCGGGTGTCTGTACACCGCAGGCCGCTGGCGCTGGAACCTCCAGACGCGCGGAATGCGGTGTATCTGCAGCCGCCACAGCAGTGGATCTGCGTGTTTGTGGAAGGTGTGCGAGCTGTATACACGCAGTGCCTACGTGGCGAATTTCTTGCAGACGCGATTGCAGCCGCAGCTCATGGTGTGGGACCCCTCGTTCGGCAAATCGCCAATTCTACAGTCACGTATCATCAGCAGCTGCTGCAGCACAAAACGGCGTCTCTTGCTTCTGGCCGGCTTGCTCCCTGCAGCTGCTGCGAGCCTCAACGCATCCTTTCTCCTGCAGCAGCAGCAGCAGCTGCTGCTGCTAGAGACGGCCATGGCACTCCTGTGGATGCAGTACCAGTGTATCTGTGTTTTTCGCGGGTGTACGCTGCGTGTCTGTGGCGGAGAGGAGCGACAGCAGCAGCTGCAGCAGCAGCTGCAGGTGCTGCCGCGCGCAAGAACAAGAAGAAGAAAGCACTTGAACCTCTCCTGGAATTTCCGGTGGAAGCCTCTTCGGCAGAGAGAGATGACTGCAGTTGCAGCAGCGACTGCAATTGCAGCAAAGGGGGTCGTTCGGGTGGTTACAAGGCGCTCAGCACGCAAGAAGGCTTGGAGGAGACAAGGGAGGCAGGTGCTCCAACGGCTTCGGAAGGCAGCAGCATATGCAGCGGCAGCAGCATAAGCAGCAGCAATGACTGGTGTTGCAAGCGCAGCGAAGAGGCTTGGCACGACTGGGGTGCACAGCAAGGGCGACAGGCGCTGCTGGAGTGTACTGCTGCAAGCTTGCGCGAATCTAGCAGCAGCTGCATGCTCGACAGTCTCAGCTGCATTCGCAGTACCCTGGCGTCTAGACACAGCGGCCTATCAATAGGGGGCAAGCAGCAAGAGGGGGAGGAGGAGATGCAAGAGCAGCAGCAGCAGGAGGAGAAGCAGCAGCAGGAGATGCAAGAGCAGCAGCAGCGGGAGGAGAAGCAGCAGCAGGAGATGCAAGAGCAGCAGCAGCGGGAGGAGAAGCAGCAGCAGGAGATGCAAGAGCAGCAGCAGCGGGAGGAGAAGCAGCAGCAGGAGATGCAAGAGCAGCAGCAGCAGGAGATGCAAGAGCAGCAGCAGCAGGAGGAGCAGCAGCAGCAGGAGATGCAAGAGCAGCAGCAGCAGGAGGAGGAGCAGCAGCAGGAGATGCAAAAGCAGCATCAGAAGCAAGAGCATCAGGAGGATGATGACGACGAGGAAGTCGGCTTGTTGGAAGCCTCGCTCTGTCCCTTTGCGGATAAGGAATTTCGTGTAGCTACTGCGTCAGCGGCGAAGCAGCTGCCTGTGCAGCAGGTGCTGCTGTGGAAACTGCAGCAGCAACCAGCTACAGTGGATATGTCTTCATGGCGAGCTGTAGGGAGCTGTAGCTTCCGGCCTTCACCTTCGCAGCAGCAGCCAACGCAGCAGCAGCAATCGCAGCAGCGGAGCAGCACCACCCGCAGCAGCAGCAGCAGCCAGTGCAGCAGCGGCGGACGGGGGTGTGCGTACACTCCAGTTGTAGCTGCTCGGCTCGAGACACTTGCCGTGTGCGTAGATGACTTCAGACGTGCAGCCCTAGTTGCAGCAGCAAGTGAGGCTGCAGTTCAAATGCCTCCCGCTCCCGCATGCGCTGCTACGCGCACTTTGCAGCTGCGCATGCAGCATCTTGAGCTGCTGCTTTTCGATTTCCAGAAGCAGCAGGGGCAGCAGCATGCGCAGGAGCAGCAGCTGCAGCAGCAGGAGGACAGACGTCTGCTGCGGCAGCATTTGGTGCGGCTGCGGAGAAGCTACCTCACGCTTGCTAGGCCGCTAGGATGCTCTGGCACTGAAGCATCTCAACGGGAGCAGCATCTGCCTGTGCTGCTGCTTTCTTCCGAGCAGGTGGATGTACACTGCATTTCTTGTGAGCTGGCGGCAGCAGCAGCAGGCGGGCGGACGCCTTCGAGCAGCAGCGGCAACAATGGCGCTACCGTCAGCGAGGCAACAAAGCGCATGCTTCTGCTTCAGCCTAAAAACCTCACCATCCGCTTTATGTGTAGTGTGGCTGATGCTGCTGCTACGGCTGTCGCTGCTGCCTCTGCGTGGGATCAAGAAGTTTTTGATAGGTCTGCGCGAGAGGCCTTTGCGGCTGCGGCTACTGTTGTTGCTGCGGAGCATGCCGCTTGCACGAGCGAAGGGAGCAGCAGTAGCAGCAGCAGTAGCAGTAGCAGCAGCAGTACCAGCAGCAGTACCAGTAGCAGCAGCAGCAGCAGCAGCAGCAGCAGCAGCTTATGTGGCTGCGGCAGCAGTACGTACAGCAGCATGGGAAGCGCTAACAATGTTGCACCGTGTGACAGGGACCTGCAGCAGCAGCAGCAAACTCAGCAGCAGCAAAGTCAGCAGCAGCAAACTCAGCAGCAGCAGCCGTACAAGCTGCAGCAGCACATCGAAGTGCGTGTGCTTAGCGGTCTGCGTATTGAGTTTTCTAGGAGTAACCTCGTGCTGCTGCGGCTGCTCCTGCCAGCTCTCTACCTCCGTACGAGTCTGCGATATGAGGCAGCAGCAGCAGCAGCAGCAGCGGGGGCTGCTGTTGCGGGGGAAGACGGTGGTGGCGAGCGGCTAGCTTCACCTACGCATGCTGCTGCTGCTGCTGCTGCTGCTGCTGCTGCTGCTGCTTGTACAGCGCCTGCGGAAAAGAAGAGGGGCTGCAACAGCACTGTGCTGCCGCAGTTTCTGTCTCTCGACTGCATGCTGCAGCTGCAGGAGGGTATTCGTTCTACCGTCTTCAGTTCCTCAGCAGAGGATGCAATTCTGGATAGTGCTGAGGAGCAGCCGCTGCTGCAGCTGGCTCGGGGGTGTGCAAGACTGTCTCTCGTGTGCAAGAAGGAGCAGGAGAGGCAGCAGTCGCAGCAGCAGATGAAGACGGATTTTCAGTTGTACCTCAGAGGCATCCGGGGAGACGTTCCCCCCGAGGAGCAGCAGATGAACTCTGAGAATCACGACAAACGCAATTTTTCGCCAGCGTCGAGACACGAGAATAAGCCGCAACACCAGCAGCTGACCTTAAACATTACCCCCGCGCATGCGCTGCTCGTGATGCAGCTTCTTCTTGGCAGGAGAGGCAAGACTTCGCTCGCTGCTGCTGCCTCCGCTTCAGTGGCTTCCTCACCTCCCCAGCAGCAGGAGAAGCAGCCAGCGCGAGTGCACGATCCTCAGCAAGCGGGCTGGTTCGTGAGGATGTACAGGGAGCTGCGTGGACAGGCAGACATTGCCGTTCGGCTGAAAGTCTCGGCAAGAGACTTGCATGCGAAATGCGATCTTGCGCGGTGCAGTGTCTCTGCAGCAGAGCTGCACGAGATGCTGACGCTGCCGAGGCGGCTTGCCGAGAGCCGTCAGACGGAGGATGGCAAGCGGGGGGGGGGGGCGCAGAGGCTGCCTTTTCGCAAGAATGATAATAGTGATCCCCTCAAGAAGGCAGAAGACACCACGGAACGTTCAGACTCGGCGCCCTCGAGGGAGGCAGTGAGACAAGGGGAAACTTCCGCTTTCCGCGAGGCAGTGCTGGAAAGCAGACGAGGAGACGAATTTTTGCTTGGAAAGTCTCCACGGCAGAATTCTCAGCATCATCGAACGGGGGGTGTCTGCCCTGTTAAACTGTGGCGGAAAGGTATTGCTAGCCTCCGCAGCAAAAGCGCCTCAGATTGGGGGGGAAACGCTGACGGCAGCAGCAGCAGGAGCAGCAGCAGCAGGAGCAGCAGCAAGAGCAGCAAGAGCAGCAGGAGCAGCAGCAGGAGCAGCAGCAGCGGCAGCGAGGAGAGCGACGTCAAGGTGTGTGCAGCAGGAGGCAACGACTCTGATCTCCTGCCAGCGCCGGAGCAGCAGCAGCGGCTCAAACAGCAGCAGCGGCTCAAACAGCAGCAGCGGCTAGCGCACCGCTTGCTGAAAAAAGGCTCTGCTGCTGCAGATGACGCGGTGTCTCTCCAGCTGCAGCAGCAGCATGGCCTGTGGTTTGAAGGCTTGCAGACTTGGTCGGGGGAAGGAGAGAAGAGTGGCTTGCTGCAGCAGGATTTGTGCAGCAGCAAGCCACTCTTCTCTCCTTCCGCTGACGAAGCGTTTTCTGACGCCTCAGAAGGCGCTGCAAGAGGGGAACGTGCAGCAGCAGCAGCAGCAGCAGCAGCACGAGCGATGACAGCTCCATCTCCCTCGCATGACGCAAGAGGCGCCGCTCCAGGAGCAGCAGCAGGCGTTTGTACCCCCGCAGATGTATGGACCGACATGAAGATGCATCTTTCGAGGCAGAGCGTTGTGATTTTGCGGCATCTCCTGCTGAGTTTTGAGCCGAGCAGCGAAGGAGCGCCCAGCAGCAGACAGAAGGCTGCTGGCAGTGGACACACGCATGCGCAGCGCGAGCAGCAGCAGCAGAACTGGCAACTGCAGCAGTTTGCCGCTGCTGCTTCACGCATGTGGGGAGTGACGCTGCCTCCCTGCCTTCCACCCCCTTCACCCCTCGTGCTGCCTGTCTTGAGAATTCCAGGAATCCGTGCGGAGCTGCAGAAGCGGCCAAGGCAGCAAAACAAGAGTCATTCTCAGCAGGCTGCATGCATGCTGTTGCACTGCCCGTCTATCCTGCTGTCGCCGACGAGCCTCGCGCTGACAATGAAATGTCTAGATCTTGCAGAGGCAGCGCGCGAGCAGCTCGAGCCTTACCTGCAGCTGCTACTGCCCCCTCAAAAAGGCGAAAAAGAGCAGCCACAGCAAGAACGACATCGTGATTTGCGGCAGCAGGAGGAGGCACAGCAACAAAAACAGCAAAAACAGCAAAAGCAGGTATCCTGTGGCGTCTTTGATTTCACCTTCAAGTGTACGTACCCCCAAGTCAGCGTGCACTTCATCGAGCTCCATCGAGGGAAGCAACAACAGCTGCTTCAGGAGGTTGCGATGCAGATTCACCGTATCCGCAGCACCTCTTTGGTCGGTCGCTCTGCAGGCGTGACACAAGCAGCAGCAACGGGAGACGGTGACGCAAAAGCTGGAGTAGAATGCTCCATTTCTTCTTCCATGGCTGTCGATTGCAACCCGCTGCTGCAGCAGCATGCGCGACTGGCGGACTCTATGTGGACAGACAATGAGCGGCTAGCTGTTGCTGCTGCTGCTGCTGCTGCTGCTGCTGCTGCTGCTGCTGCTGCTGCTGCTGCTTCTGCTGCTTCTGGCGCAACAGCAGCAGGAGCAGCAGTGGAAATGCAGTTATCAGGAGAAGACGCCTCAGGCTTGAGTGGACAGCACCAGTGCGACGAGCAAGCGCGTGCCACTGCTACTTCTTCTTCTTCCGCGTGGACTGCAGCAGCAAGCGGAGCACCCCCGAGAGCTACTCCTCAGCAACACCCTTCAGACAGTCGCACCGACTCCCATGCAGGCTACAAGAAGTGGGGCGAAGAAGCAGTCTCCAGCACGAGCCGCTGCAAAAGCGATCCGCAGGCTCCCCGGAGGCTGCAGCAGCGCGGAGGCTGCAGCACTCCCTGGAGTGTCTGTACACCGGACTGGGGAAGCGAGGAAGTAGTGGCAGCTGCAGAAGTACTTCCATCTCTCCTAGCGCTGCCGCTCCCCGAGCACGAACCTGCCTTTTGTGCGCCGATAGAACTGCTGCAGCACACCTACAGCAGCCGAAGCAGCAGCGAGTTGCGCGCTGCCCTCTCGGGTGTACAGACAGCTCAGTTGGTCCTCTCCACTCCGCACGCCGTTGCGAAAGCGCGTCTGGAGGCTGCTGCGGAAACAATCGCGACGGCGACTGCCTCCCATAGCCTCTGCGAGCGACACCACGTGCTGCTCGTAGACGTCATATGTCGCCTTGGACCGGTGTGCGGATCTGTAGGATCGCTTCATGTGGCAGGCTTGTTGTGGCATCTGCCGCTTGCTGCTCCCTCAAGTGCTTCATTTCAGAGGAACGTTCAGCGGGGTAGCAGCAACAAGGGGCCTTTCCGCTTCGTGATGCATGAGCAACTCGCATCCGTCAATCTTACGAGCAGCGACAGCGAGTCGGTGCGATCATCTCCCTTAGCAACAACACCACCACATGATGAGGATGTCGAGACACCTCGAGAGACGGCACGTCGCAGTGTATGCAGCTGCAGCAGCAGCAGCAGCAGCAGCAGCCGAGGGTCCGGTCTGCTGCTGCCCTCCGGCGGCATCCCCACAAGCGAGAAACAGCAGCAACAACAGCAGCAGCGAGAACAGCAGCAACAACAGCAACAGCAACAACAACAGCAACAACAGCAACAACAGCAACAACAACAACAACAGCAGCAACAGCAACAACAGCAACAACATGAAGGAGTGTGGGGTGGGAACAGCAGTTGTGGGATCGCTGCTGTCGCGACAGCAGCGATCCCACAACTGCTGAAGCCTGTGCTTTGTTTGACAGAAACGTCGTGTCTCCTTGAGATGTCGCTGCCTCAGTTGGACTGCAGCAGTCGGCTTTTCTGCGGCAAGTGTCTCTTTGCCGTGAACGCGGAGAGCTTCGCCATGCTTCAGGAGCTGCTGCACCGCATGCTGCTGGCGTGCAGCATCAGCAGGAGGCAATCGGGGGAAGCAGTTGCAGCGGGGAATTTCGGAGGGGGGCAGGGAGGAAAGTCGCATCAGCACGCAGGCTGTGGCGTAGAGAGGGAGTCTAGCTCGATCTCGATTCAGGAAAAGTCGATGGATACACCCCCCGTTCCCCCCTTGAAAGCCGGAAGAACAACTGCCTTGCCGTTCGGCTCCTTGGAAAGCAGCAGCTCTCAAGTCTTTCCCCAACAGTTTTGCCAGCAGCAGCAAAGTGTGCCGCTAATGCAACAACGACGAGTTCGACCCTCTGCTGCACGAAAGCTTTTGCATGCGTTTCTGGCAGAGGAGGCTTCCGAGGGAGGAGGCCTAGCCCAGCTAGCCGGAGACACTGCAGCTGCTGCTTCTCGAATTCGACTCAAGCAGCCGCAGCAGAACGAGGCAGCAGATGCTGCTACCACTGAGAAAATGCAGCAGCAGCAAGAGCAGCAGGCCCTGCAAAAGCAGCAACGTCGCCAGATTTCCGTCAGTCTCCTGCTTGAAGAAGTACGTGTTTTTCGCAAGCCTCCCCAACCCCCAAAAGAGACACTCCAGAGTTTCCGGGGAAGAGTTCGGCACTTCAGACAAAACGCCTTGCACATAAAATGCTAGACATACCTCTTAGACACACCCATACATACACATACACGCATTTGTGCACACACATACATGCACACAGACACATACACACAGACACATCCTCGTTGACACGCACATACACACATACATACATACATACATACATACATACATGCACATACACATACATACATACATACATACACATACATACACATACATACACATACACGTACATACATACATACACACATACATGCACATATACATACATACATACATACATACATACACATATATACACATACATACATACACATACATGCATACATACACACACACATTCTCGCAGACCCACACACATACACACATACATACATACACATACATCCTCGCAGATACACACACACACATACATACATACACACATACATACACCTACACCTACACATACACATACATACATACATACATACATACATACACATACATTCTCGTAGATCCACACACATACACACACCCCCTGCAGGTGCTGCTATGAATTGCGTGATGCGCTGCAGATTTGCTGCTCGTTGCTGCACGGCTCAACGAACCTCCCGTTCTGTTGCCTCTGCTGCAGTGATGCAGCGGGCAGCCTGCAGCTGCTTCTGCAGGGTGAGAGGCACTTGCATCTCGAAGTGGATTTGGCAGACTGGCGCGTGCTCGATTTGCGCTCGAAATCGGCGGGAACATCAGCAGCAACGGGGCCGGCAGGTGAGCAGCATCAGCAGCATCAGCAGCATCAGCAGCAGCATCAGCAGCAGCATCAGCAGCAGCAGCAGCAGCAGCAGCAACAACAACAACACCGTCTAGCGCCGTGGTCTAGAAAGCTGCAGAAAAGAAGTAAAGGTGTCGTAGCCTCTGTTGCTGTCTCACGCAAGCCTGAAGCTGAATCTGCTTCCACGAGGGAGCATGTGGAGGCGCTTCTAACGCATGCCTCATCGTACTCGATCGACACAGTTGCTGGAGTTGCATCTCAGGGAGGGGGTCCAGCAAAGGCTGCCAGTCGAGTGCGCAACAAGCTGCAGCAGCTGCTCCCTGCCATGCGACAGCGTGCTGCGGCGGCAGCCGCTGCGGCGGCTGCTCTTCCCGCTGCTCGGCTGCAGCGACTAGTGTCGCATGCAGCAGCAGCAGCAGCAGCGGCACCAGTGGCGCACAAGGCTGAGGGATCCGTGCATGCGCATGGTGGGGATGCTGCCTCGAGCATCGTCGCACTCGACGGATCTGGAGGCGCATCATCCCCAGCTCCCGCGTTGCCAAGCCGACTCCCCAGCAGCGGATGGATCCCCTTTGACAGCGCATGCAGCAGCAAGCTCCTAGGCAGCAGCAGCAGCAGCAGCTTCTGCAGCTCCAGCAGCAGCAACAGCAGCAGCAGCGAGGGCAAGGGGACTGCAATCCTGGAACCTCTAGAAGTGCTGCCAGATAGGGAGCAGCGACTGCTCGGCAGCAGTAATAATAGCAGCAGCAGCAGCAGCAGCAGCAGCACGTGTAGCCTGTCTGGAGTGGTGGGAGTTGCAGCAGCAGCCTCGGAAGCAGCGACAGAAGGTGACAGCGCTTTGCTCCTGAAGCTGAGACAGCACTTCGCCGGGGATGCTGCGCCTGCTCTTGCAGCGATGGATGCCTCCGCAGCCGAGGCGAGAAGTCTCGATGCTGAAGCTGCAGCGAGGCGTCCAAGGGGAGCAAGCGACGCAGCAATGCCACTCTGGGAAGCTGCAGTTCCCCCAGCACTCGAAGTTTTTCATGCTGCCTCAGGCAAGAATACGCATGCAACAGCCACAAAACAACAAGCGCTGTGGGGCCTGCAGCGGCTGCAGGGGTGGATGCAACAGCCTCAGCATGTTGTGCAACAGCCTCAGCATGTTGTGCAACAGCCTCAGCTGTCAGAGACATCCCCCCACCGAGAGCAGACGCAGCGCTCAGAGCAGCACCACGTGGAAGTGCTGCAGCAGCAATTCAAACAAGCGACGCAGCGGGGAATCCATGAGGATCGCCACATGCAGCTTTCCAAGCCAGCCTTCACAGTATCGTATTTTTTAGGCTTAGTGCTTCCTCCTGGGCTCACAGCCTTGCGTGTAATGTCTCCTCTCTTCGAACTGCAGCAGCCTCAGCAGCGGCAGCACATAAATGAGACTTCCGTGGCAGCTGCTCCTGCGGGAGAAGAAGGATGGGGAGGCTCAGACGGCGTTGTTGATATGTGGAAACAGAAAGAAGGCCTCTCGCATCGACTCTCTGCGCATGCAGTATCGCTCCGCTGCAGCCACAGATTTGTCGTCCTCGAATGCGGAAGATTCCAGGTGCTTCTCTTCCATGTCTGCTACTCTTTTGCTGCTACTGCTACTGGTGCTACTGGTGCTACTGCTAATGCTGCTACTGGTGCTACTGGTGCTACTGCTAATGCTGCTACTGGTGCTACTGCTACTGGTGCTACTGCTAATGCTGCTACTGCTAATGCTGCTACTGCTACTGGTGCTACTGCTAATGCTGCTACTGCTAATGCTACTGGTGCTACTGCTACTGGTGCTACTGCTACTGCTACTGCTGCCACTGCTACTGGTGCTACTGCTACTGGCTCACAACTTCGCCACACATGCTCTTCCCATTAAGTTCTCACGGCGGGTTTGCGCGAAGACGACCTCTTTCTTGCTATGTTTCTGCTGCTCAGGTGTTTGATTATTTGCTGCTGCACATCGATCCTGTCAGGGTGTCAGTTACGCCGACGTTCGTCGAGTGTCTGTACACCTTTTTCTTCCCCCCAGCTTCTCCCCAGGCAGTCGATGCTGTGGCTTTGCTCGCTCCTTCGCTCAAATGGGCAGGTTCTGTCGCTCCCTCTGGAGCAGTAACCGCATTAGTACCACAAGCATCCAGTGAAAACGTCGCAACACTCAGTGGAACCTCTGGGGGGAGCGCCCCTAAAACTGCCGGTACAGCGCAGGAAGACTTAGTGCACCTTACACGTGAGCTGTGTCTTTCTTTTTTCCAGCTCTATGCAGCGTGTGTGCTCTATGTTTCCAGATGTGTCGTTAGAAACTGTCATGGCAGTGCCTGCCTGTCTGCCTACCTCCTGCTGCGTTTATCGTGTTGCTGGTTTGCTTTTCAAGGTGGCTCTAAGACATCCAACGCTTCCCTTGCCCCCCCTGCAGCTGCGCACCAGCGCTCGGTAGAAGCGGCAGCAGCAGGGGATGCTGGAAAACGATCGCTGTACAAAACGCAGCAGTTTTTGCAGCATCAGCAGCCGCAGGATCCTGGATTGGGGGTGTACTTCCGCTTCGTGCGAGTATCTCCCTTTGCAGCTGCAGTGACGTACAGAGGTAAGTTCAGACGTAGTCGCACGCTGGCTTGAAGAGTCTCTTGCTGGCTATATATCTCTCTGTTTGTTTGCATGTGTTTGCATGTGTGTGTGTGTATGTGTCTGTCTGTATGTGTGTATGTATGTATGTGTGTGTGTGTGTGTGTGTGTGTGTGTGTGTGTGTGTGTGTGTGTGTGTATGTGTCTGTGTGTGTATATATATATATATATATCTGTGTGTGTGTGTGTGTGTTTATGTGTGTGTATGTGTTTTAGTATGTGTATGTTTTGTTTTTTTTAGAGGTCTTTTTGTTTTCATCTGTCTTTTTCGCTTGTTTTTTTTGTTGTTTTGTGTTGCTTTCTTTTCGTTTGATCTACTGCTCGTTTGTACTTTCTGCTATC